CACTGAATAAATACGATAGCCACTGTTGCTTGATGCTTGTCCAAATCTTCCTGGCTTCTGCTGACAGGGGGGGCATGGAGGAGGTGGGCCAGGGTGTGTGGACCCAAGCAGATCTGGGGGAGAAGCGTGCCATTTGCCTTTGCCACACCACCAAACCCACTGCCCCTTCCCACCCCCACAGCCCTTTTATGAAATCAGACAACATGGTAGGTGGAAAACAGCAGGGCCTTTCCTCTGGTTTTTCAACCAGAAGTCATATTCCACAGTTTTAACTGGTTACTGTGAAGTCCAAGCGGCCAGAATTGTGAAAATGTCCACTGAAACACTGCAAGCGGTGTACTTAAAGACAGTAGGCCTTTTAGATTTTGTTATATATTTTTTTGTAGTGCTCTTCACAAGTGAAAAAAAAAGTTTGTTTTTTTTTTTTTTACTTTTTTTTTTAAAGATTTTTTTTTTTGTAAAGAAGGGTTGTATTTAGAGGCCAGTAGCTAGAGATCCAACCAGTGGACCTCTTGAAGCACTACCAGGCCTTAAGGCCACCATCCGAGGGAGGCTGGGAAAACTACTATTCACCCAGGCCTCCGGAAATGTAATGTACCAGCAGGCAAAAAACAGTTCTTCATGTAGTACAAAATGAAACTAAACAAAAACAAAAACAGAAATTAAAAACGAAACCAAAACATTTTTTAAAATTCTAGTGCCATAGCTTTTTTTTTTTTTGTTTCTTTTTTTGTTGTTTTGTTCATAAGAAAGAGAGAAAGATACTACTTATCCGTCAGACACATGCATCCTCATGTGGTCGTTGAACTGCTCGATTTGGTCAAACTTTGCTGGACAGACGGAGCAGACGTAAGTGGTCCCCTCCGTGCAGGCCACCACTCCTGGGGGACCAGCTCGGGCTCCTGGGGGTGTGCCCGCGGGAGGGGTCCCGTTGCTGGCACTGTGCAGGGCCACGTGTCGCTCCAGGAGGGTCTTGTGGGAGAACTTCTTTTTGCAGATGTAGCACTCATAGGACTTCTCCCCCCGGTGGAGGCGCATGTGCACGTTGAGAGAGCTCTTCTGAGTGAAGCGCTTGTTGCAGATACTACACTGGTACGCCCTCACTCCTGTGTGTGTCACCATGTGCTTGATAAGGTAATCCTTTAAGGAGAAGGAGCGCCAACAGATGCTGCATTGGTGGGGCTTCTCACCTGTTGATGTGGGAAGAGACAGCAGGCGGGACAGAGCGAGACATAGCAAGGGAGGGAGAATGAGAGACAAAAAAACAGGACGACAAAAAACAAAAACAAAGAAATTAAAAAAAAATAAAGTCTGATTCGTTAATGGGTCTCTCTTGATTGGAAAGATCCAGTCCTTCCTGGCCTCTCATGTTCTGAGAAACCTTGCTTTAAGATGATGCCTGGACAGTTTAGAGTTTTCTGTTGCCCTGTGTCAGAAAATGGCTCTCTTGGAAAGCTACAAGATATTCCCCACTAAGTCTTCAAAGATCATCCTGTGGAGAAAAGGGAGGGCTGCTTTAAGGGGATCATTTTCAGTGTCATTATTAGGGGATTACATTACGTGTTTCTCATGAACTTCATCAAACAAACAAAAGCAATAAGAGAGGGGAAAGATCCTCGGAGACACGGGGTCCTCTAGAATCTTCGGGGACTAAGGATGGTCGTCACACAGCTTGGCTCTTTGGAGACACTCTCCATCTCCAGTATTCTATCTAGTAACTACACTCGTGCCTTGATTTTAGGTTTGGAAAATATTGGCCAACACGGGAATAAGTCATTCTGAAGAGCTACACTTTCAATTTTATCTGTTTTAGAGAAATCTTTCTAAAATGCAATTTTAAGAGTTAATCAGTTATTCTGTCTTGACTGCACTGAGCTGCAGATCAGCCTTGTCTGGCATGGAGGTTGAGTAGGTAGTGGACAACGTGACGATCAGAATCAAATGGTCCTGTTCAAATCCAGGCTCTAATACACAGGCTCCAATGCCTCTGAGGTATACAGTCCTACATACCTCACTGTGCTGATGTTGACATAAAACAAAAACAAAAACAAGAAAAACATATGAAATCACTTTGCAGACCACCAAGAGTTGTGTGGGAATACTTGTATGGTATTCTTATTACAGCACTATCCTCTCTCTCACCCCTGGCCATTAAATGGTTCCATACGCTTTTTTGAACTTTTGGGTCAATTTAAAAAATTGTTTTCTCCTTCTTTGCTCTCAGTCTGTTGGCTGAAACTCTTCTTTCTCCTCAGTTTACTGCTTTGGTTTGCTGTTGACTTAGAAACCAAATGACTAAGCTTGTTAAAAATAGTAAGGTAAATATAAATATTGTCACTGAATGACCCCATGAGGTGTTCTTCTATAAGTAACGTCCATAGGCCTGTGACATCTCTTTGGATAAACAGAGACTTTTTTTGTTGTTGTGGTGCTGTCTGTTCTCAGCTCTGGGCTTGACAGGTGAGATGAATGAACTACCTTAAGGTGTTTCCATTTCGCCCACCTCACTTCTGATCACCCAAGAGAAGGTCCTTCTATGTACTCATCCGTAACCCAGCCTAAAGCTCAAAGCCTTTGAAGCTATCTAGGGGAACATTTCAACATTTGGACTATGCTTCTTGAATTTGAGTTAACTTCCAATTAAGATATGTGCCTGGACCTATTTCCATTATGAAACAGAAGAGATGTGTCAGGGTAATAATGGCGAAGAAAACACTCACCACGTATTGCGTGCTTCTTATATGCCAGGCTCAGTGTTAGTGCTTTATGTTTGTGATCTGTTTTATGAAACTTTATCTCATCAGAAAGCTTTTTCATTGTGTTCGTAAGCATAAAAGGATATATTCTGAGAGCATGATTGTAAAAAATGGCTGTTTTGTTCAGGAATTCCTCTACATATTTCTTAATTTCACTGATCTTTGACCTCTTTTACCTTTAGTCATTCAAAAATTTTGGTCTGTCTCATGCTCCTCTCAACTCTTGTGATTTCCTCTCCCTCATTCTCACTGATGGGACAGTATGATGTATAGGATCACAGGATTAGAAGGGAAACATTTCACTTTAGACTCAAATGAGGGAATTTCGGGAAGCCTCATTCCTAAATGAAGAGTTCAGCTTATGCATGGTGTTTATGTAGGTACATTTTTTGAGACGAGAGATTCCCTAGGACAGACAGTCACGCATGTTATTTTTAGTTGAAACATTTCTGTCATCTGTAAACACGTTTGGAACTCAAGCTGGTCTTTGCCATCCCTGTGCCTTTAGTACATTTTCTAGAGGCTATGGCAGGCCGGCCAACTATCTTTTAAAACATGTCCACCTGTCACCTTTAACGGGAGGGAAGCGTGCCTTCTTAAGTACCAGATGGTATTTTGGCTGCTAGAAGTTGAAACTTTGTTTATGTTAAAATGCTCTTGCTGTTTGAAACTTTCACCTTCCTTTAGTGTGTTTTTCCTCTAGGCAAGGTCACTAATGAAGGCTTTTTATTTTCACACCCTTCTAATCTGACGATAAATTGATTCTTCACAGTTGTCATCTTTCCCTCCATACCATAGATCTGTATGTTGTTCGTATGCAGGTAGTGTTGGTTTGGCAGTTAATTATCTGTGTGACCCTGGGCTTTCTAACTATTTTCATGTTTCTGGGTTTGTTTCCCCTTCTGTAAGTGAGGAGCTGAATCAAGCACTTGTTATGGTCCTTTGAAGATTTAGGGGCCTTCTGCCCACCACAGCCTCTAACCCCTGAGGGTTCTAGTCCAGCTTGTTAGTGCATGACCTGAGGGCAACCTGCTTAAATGACTCAATGCATCAGCAGACCCACATTTTAAATAGGGCTAGGTATCCTGTTCCCTTCCCTGCCACAGAGAAATGGTATGATAGTTAATGAGAAAAAGTGTTTGCAAAGCACTTGAGAGGTCCTTAAAGGAGAGTGCTCTCCAGAATTATTAAGGTGCTGTGTTGGTAGAACATAGGCATTTCAGGAACTGTCTTACTAAATGGAGTATATTTTCAGAGCAGTCAGGTGTCCACAACTTTCATTTCTATATGTTTGGATTTGAAACAATATCACTCAGTAGAAATGTTAATGTTTTTTCTTTCCAGTTATTTTCCTGCATGTTACTTATAGCGATCCCCAAAGGGCTTTCAGCATTATACATGGAACTGACGTAGTTTGCTGACTGCTGCTCTCAATGTGGAGAAATGTAAAATTAAGATTAATGGTAGTGGATGGATTTTCAGGTCTGAGCCTATGGCCACAAATGGCAAGTCCGATTCATTAGACTCAAAGTACAAAACACAAAGTACAAAACAGACACTAGAATTATAATGTGCGGGAGAAGCTCCTATAAGCTCCTTTGCTTTAAAATGATCCATTTGGGGCCTATCCAGATGCAGGAGTCGGATATGAATTCCATTTCCTTGGCTGAGTGACTTGGGTATGTTACTTAGCCTCTCTAAGCCTCAGTTTCTTTATCTGTAACTTGAGAATAATACAGTAAAGTACCTGTCTTGTGAAGGTATTTGGAAAATTAAAGACATAAAGCACATAGCATAGAGTATGTGACCATTTTAAGAAAAATTCCACTGTTCCCTTTGGCACAAAGAAACTGACAATAAGTGAAACCAACTGAGATATAACTTGCATGGCATGGGGAAGCCAACTCAAGATTAAAAACAATTGTTTCAGATAATCAATAAAGCAAGTGTTTATATTGCAGCTATGTAATTCACAGTTAAGGGTATAGTGTACTCTCAGTTACCCATGCTAATGGAAAGAAGTGGTACCATGAATAGAACGCCAGCAAACGGCATAAACAGAAGAGTTCTTAGCGAGCAACAACTGAGCTCTGGAGATGAAGAAACCAGACAGCAAGTGGAGAAATCGGGGGGGAGGCAGTGTCCTTTACTATTCCAAGGGTGGGAGAGTAGTGAAGGCATATACTTTTCTCCATTTTTTGATGTGTGCTCTCTAAAGAGCTGTTTTTTCAACTCCTCATGGACTAGCACTGACACTTACTCTACCATGACTGACAAGTGGGAAAAAAGAGAGAGAGAGAGAGAGAGAGGGAGAAAGATACCGTTAGGTTAATAGATGTAGACATTCTGCCCAAAGTTTAAGTAAAAGATATCCTAATGGGCTAAGCCGCCCCAATTCTGAAGAGTGATCGCTGTATTGGGGGCTCAGGAAGAACCCATTTATCCTGCTGATCCTTTCTCATTCTAACCAGGCTTCTTCTGGGCTGCAGAAAAGACAGTGACTGATGTTACCAGGAGGTGTTTCTGAAGTAGTGTTCCCACATTTTTTCCATTCTTCTCCACCATCTGCTCTAGCACGACACCCTATGCAGGTGAGTGCAGTGAGGGGTCAGAAACCAAGACTGAGTGTGTGGTGAGAGCAGGTGGCAGAAGGAAGACAGGGGTATGGTCTGGGGAAGGTGACTGCTGGCAAAGAAAGCAGAAAGGGTCCTTGAAATCGCAGGTCCTCCAAATGGGGAAAACCAAGATTGGAACAGAAAATGGGAAAGATTCAGTGATAACAAGGGGAGAGTGCTCAGATGAAATCATACAGAGCTTTCACTGGCTGCAGGGTTTGCTCTCCACCAGAGAATTCTAGTTGGAGAAGGGCCTGCACACCTGAGATACGGGTGGTGTAACCGCCTGCCAGCCTTCCTCTCCAGTTCCACAGTGCGGTCCTGGTGCCAGCTTGGACTATGAGGCTGTCTAGGGGGTACTGCTTATCCCAATAAGCACATTGCATTCACAAAAATCTGTGGTTTCAGTGACAACTAAAATATTTTGCTATTAAGCAGAATTTTGAAGATCTCAGGGTAGTTCATCCACATTACTTTTCTTACGATGCTGTGAGTGGAGTAGATGTTAACATCCCCAGAAGACAGTATCTCCATTAGAAAAGAGTGGTAACATCTTGAAGGTCACTCAGTAAGTCAACACTAGCTGAGAATATGACTCCAGCCCTGGCAGATTATTTCCTCTTTCCCCTGTAAACAATTTCCTGCTCTCTGGATTATGCTGCAAATGTGTGATGCTGCTGTAACACATAACATATATGTTCCTAAATGGTTCGATAATTTTATAGCATTTACGGTTAAGCGCTTTTATATAAATTATATTTTTTGGTTCTCAGTGCGACTATGTAAAGTAAGTACTATTAAGATTTATATCTCTTATGT